TGGACACTTTATTTACTGAATTGCTGCTATTTCCAGAATTCTTGCACTTGATTGAAGTAAATTCCTCTTTTGAAACTCTTCAAGTCTCCCTTCTACCTGTGGAGGAACTAAGCTTCAGGATTGATACTTCATTAGAGCAGCTCCATTTGATGAGAAGCCATCATAGCCAGAGCCTGCTAAACGTGGCTCTGGAAAGAGTGAGTGACCCATTACCTCTGTGTTTCATATTGCCTGTATACATACAGTATTATGCTATGAAAAGTTTTACAGTATTAGCCAGAGGTTTATTATCAGGTCCTCCTTTATATCAGTATATCACATTGTGTGGTGGTGTTTCTCATTGCACGCCCTCTCATTGTACCTGTTTTTCAAATTTTATGTAGTGTCTTGTGAGTGATTATAGACACTAGGGTTGCTGCATTTTCACATATTTTTAATTAGCGCCAATCCACCCATATTCCATTGTTCTTATCTTTGTTTTGTTTTTTTACTCAGAGGTAAGTATATACAAGGAACAAGCAGAAACTGTAAAAAAAAAAAAAATTGTCGAAGAACTAAAGGGAAGACTTGATCAATACTGATATAAAAAAGAGCTTCACACATCAATAGGGGTGAATTATTAAAATAAGAAAAGCACAAATGAAAACAGAAGATCCCTCTTGTTTCTGGACTACAATAAAGAAAATGTAAAAAAAAAAAAGATAAAAAAACAAACAAACCTGGAAGGAATCATGGAAGATAACCCTAAAATTGATTTTAGAGGAGCTCCGAATTGAAAACAGAAATTAGTTAAAAGCTACAATGCAAAACGGAGTCCCATAGAGGTATTGGATGGCTTTTTATAAGTGTGGAAAATGCAGGCACTGTAAAACAATCAAATGTTCAAATAAATAAGTAAAGAAACCATTTAGATCAAATACCAAAAGTACATTTAAACTTAAGGAAAACATTTTATTGTGTTGGGAAATTTATGTTCCTACATTCATGTATAATTTATTACTGTTAACTTATTATATTCAGTTTTTGATTCTGATTTGATAATTTTTGCAGTTATTTTAGGTGAGATATTTTATATTTAAGTCTATATAAAGGGGTCTTCTATATATTTTTTATATTCTTTATCTTCAAGAGTGGATCAGCATGAACACAAAAGGTAAAAAATAGCTGTAGAAACCACAATTTTTGAAAACAAGAAATAATGGCAGCATGACATAAAGGGAAAATATATAAAGATTAGCCATTTAAGTGTACAGCATATATCAGGCATACACTTATGCTAATTTGTGGAAATAAAAAGAAGAGGTTCACCAGAATGTTGTGCCCAGAAGAAAGGCAAAATTGCTACAAGGTGCTTATAAAGGTAACACATAGCTTTGTCTTCAAAAGGAAAGTAGGTTGAGAGGGAATGCTTTCATAAGAAATGGCAAGACTGCAGCTTTCAGAGCCAAACTAATTATGATATAAGTATAGAGAATGGTATCACAGAGGAAGCATCTCTGCCGTGGACCTGTTGGGTATCGGTACGAAGGGCACACATAGCCGACATTCCATTGGTGGTGCTCCAGTGGCAACAGCAGGTCCCCTGAGAATTCAATCTCAAGAATAAAGGTAGATGGTATGGGGTTTATTTTACAATTCCGTTCCACCAGCCACTGGGATCCCAACTTGTAGGAAATGTTCTTCTCCCTTAATAAGTTAGTAAGTAAACGGAGGGACTGACATCACATTCTTTCTGAAAAAGTCCCTAAAGAAGGGGAGTTGCAAAACTTCTAATAAAGTGGGGGATCTCCTAGTGGCCCCCATTAGCATTGCCCTGTCTGATAATGAATTTGGCAAATACATCTCTGGATCTACTGTTGGTGTTGTCATCTTGACAGCTTTCCAGCGAAAGTAGCTTTGCCTGCTTGGGCGGTAAACATAGCAGGTAAAAGCATGAAAAAGAGGCAATGGAGATAGTGTGGGAGATCTTCATTGAGGATGTTCTCAGAAACCCTTCTGATGAGGACAATATGGACTTTGTCCCTGTCTTCCACTGTAGACACACGTGCTGTTAATGCTGCATAGTTATTCTGCAAGTTATTAAATGCAGAAACTGAAGCTATTTAAGCCACTTTTACAGTGACTATTCAACTTGTAAGGGTCATCACCTCCTCCCTGATTAATGCCATGTCTGCTTGGAACATCGCTAGTAGGTCTTTCAATACAGCTTTGATATCAGACTCCTCAATTTAACTCTGACTTGGGGGCACTGCTTGTTTCTGTAAAAAGGGTGAAGGTTGGATAGTGACTGAGAAATTTAAAAAAATCCTTTTATGTGCTTTTTTAATGTCTCAGATCAGAAAGCAGCCTTCCCTAATAGATTTAAGTGATTTAGGGAAGCAAAGTCCAAAATATATTCAGTGTCCTTTCATCCTGTTTTTTTTTTTAAATAAGAGTGCAATAAATAAAACCGAATATTTAACGTTTTTTTTCTGGCGAATTTTTTATATGCAACACTTAATAATAACCCTTTCAGGAAAATGGGTACAGAAATAACATCAGATAGGTTCCCGGTGCATGAAAGGAAAACAAATGTATTCCTAATCTGGCTTTATGAGCCTAATAGTGCTCCTTGACAAAGGCCTTTTTTGTGTGTCGAAACATTGTTTCGATTTTGCTGCAATAAATCTGCCCACTGGATTGAATTTGAGTGCCTGGACCATAATTACTTTTTTGCAAATCACATTGTGAGGATTGGCCAACCTCGGGCCCTGTTGCACCCTGGGATCCATATTGGTAAATATAATAGTGCTCCCGTCTGGGCTTTAAAGGAACAATATAGTATTATCAATACAAAACTATATTATTATAGTTATATTATATATAAACTTGTTGTGTCCCTCTGAATCTGTGCCTCCCCACAACCCCTTTTTTCACTTTCTTTAATGCACCTGATTCTCTTTTTTCACTTGGCTCAGTCTCCTCCTCCCGTGATATCATGGTTATGGAAGAACCTAATGCACATATGCAGTGGGTGCCGCAAATGCATTACAGCTTCCCCATAGCCACGCTTGCACGTGCATCTCCTAGGAGACGCAGAACGCTTACTCAATAGAAATCATTCTAGGGATAGACAACAGGACAAGTACGTTGATTGGGTTATCTGCGTCCTAGTAACCATGGAAACTTTATTTACCACTATAAGGGTGATAATTGCAATTAGTACGCTCCCAGCTGATTTCTGTATCCGTTCATGCGCTTTAGGAGTCAGGACGCCAGCCAGCCACACAGCTGAACTGTAAGTGATTGATTTGTTACTTTATTTAATTGTTCAGTTTGTTTTATCTCACTTGTGTTTGTCCTGATGAAAGTTCCCATGTGGAACGGAAACATTGACATTTGTCTACACTTTTTCAAGTAAAGAATTAGTTTGTGAATTACCTGGGAGTGTTCTACATATAAAGTGCAATTGAGCACCGGGTCATAAGACAGTGAGTGGGAGTGAAAGGTCTTTTTTTCTTTTTTATATAGATAGATAGATAAATGTAAAAACCAGATACAATTCTTATCTTGTAATACCTTTTTTTTTTGGACTAACAGAATTTTTTAAAGACAAGCTTTCAGGAGAACCTCCCTTTCTCAAGTCTGAAGCATTCCTGAGCAAGACGACATATAGAATTCAAAGTTGAGTTGTGTGATGCTTTTGTGTAATACCTCTTTAATTGGAACTCAACTGCAGAATTTTCTGAGGGCAGGAACAGTAAGTTTCACCTCCTATTATATTGGAGTGAAATCAGTGGACTGTATCTTTAAATAATAATCAGGAAAATGCCAAGTTAGTTCCAACTTGAATTTTAATAATGAAGTTTTAGCCTTAGCAGCAATCCTTATTTGTCAACAGAGAGTTTAAAGAAATTAAATACTATAATTAATTGATATGACTTGCTTTCCTTGACAAAAGATTTACTTAACTTAGAAGCACTCTGGCACTGGAAGGGTTAATTCACCCAATGGAGGAAGAGGAAGGAGTCTCTTTTAACAAACTGCAGTTTAGTAGTGAGAGAAAGGAAGTTAAAAGTAACCTAGAAACAACGAAACCTAAGCATTTCATTGAGAATTTGATAGGTTTTTATGGTTGTGGGGAATGCCTACCCTGCAGAGGTACGAATAATAAAAAAAGACATTTCATGAACATAAGTGACATAATAGGACGGTCATACAAAATAAGAGATCACCTTACCTGTCACTCTAAGGGAATTATTTATGTCCTGAAATGTCCATGCAATCTCCTCTACATAGGGAGAACTATACGACCTTTAAATGTAAGGATTGCGGAACATGTCCGTAATATTAAAAAGGGTCTTGACACACATTCTGTCTCCCAACACTTTAAAACCCAACACCATCAAGACCCTACGGGTTTTTTTTTTTTGTGCAATAAAATTAGTTCAGAGGGATTGGAGAGGAGGAAACTATATTAATAAGCTGGGTAAAGAAGAAATGAAATTTATTTTTAATTTTAATACTCTTAAACCCAATGGTCTTAACTCTGATTTTGAAATCTGCCACTTTTTATAATTTTTTATTTTTTTTTTATTTTTTTACTTAATTATAATAGATGACTGAATGTACATTTATGTCTTTATATGTGTCATTTTCGTCTTGTTTGTATTATGGTATTTTTTATTTTATTTTTTATCTATCTATGTGTTAATTTTATACATAATTCCATATACCATTTTTATGTGATATGATTTTTAATAAGACTTATAAGATTCCCTTTTATTAAATATGGAGGTTCCTTTACTTCTTTTACCCTATACTAAATGTATCTATCAGCATTTATATTGTCTATGGCTCAAGGAAAAAACAGAGCCTGTACAGATATGGACTTTCGTTATTTGATTAGAGAGTAAAGTTTGTTGAATGTGTGGAACGCATATGCGTTCCAACAACGACCCAGCTAACAACCCGCGGACCGGAAATACATCATCAGGACGCGACTTTTGTTATTTGATTAGAGAGTAAAGTTTGTTGAATGTGTGGAACGCATATGCGTTCCAACAACGATCCAGCTAACAACCTGCGGACCGGAAATACATCATCAGGACGCGACCGGAAGTGAAAAAACGGCGCGAACCCGGAAACAACGATTCTCCTGGACAGGTATAAATCCATACTGCTTTATGGACATTACTAGCAACTGAGGAAGCCCATGATCTGGGCAAAACGCGTTTTGCAATTTGTTTGGACTCTATATGCACTTATCATAGTGCTGTGTTAAGTTCTTACTTACTTTTAAATATTTGTATTTTATTATTTACTTTTTTATTATCTACTATTAAAAGAATTTAGTCCCCAATATTCTATTGGAGTGGACATTTCTTTTAGCACCACTGGAAGATCATTTATATCCAGAAAGATATCCAGAAAGGGAGTGGGATCCCTTTCAATCATCCCACAGGCACTCTTATTGAGCCATTACTTATTGGCTCCTCCTTTGTGAGTACTAAATCACATATTTATTGTTTGCATATACTGTATTGTACATTATTGCACTAGGTGCTTGTATATGATTTTATCTCCACAGTTACTCCATTTACCTACATGATACCATCTTTTACCCTGAATTGCATCATTCCACCCATTTGTATGTATATGATTCTATGTTATTTGTTGTGTGGATAGAGAGGTTACCACACGGGTGTTTTTAGAGTGATTTGGCATATATTTGGGTCACACGTTGGAACTCTGTTCTTGTATTTTTGAGAGAAAGGAAGTCCGTTTGTCCAAGCCGAGGTCTGAGAGATGAGAAGGTAGAAATCCGTTTACAAGCCGAGGTCTGAGAGATGAGAAGGTAGAAATCCGTTTACAAGCCGAGGTCTGAGAAGTGGAGCCGGTAGCATTGAGTAGAGCAGCTGATCTCACTGCCGCACCTGAGTGAATAATCCAGCACTTTGAATCTGGCCCGGTCTTCCTAAGTATCGTGGAAAGACCGCGTCAGAAAAAAGGGGCGGAGCTAAGCGCAGTGAACCCGGAAGTGGGTTCCGGCGGCAGCATGAATGTTAGGTATACCTGACAAGTTGTGATACAGGCAGGGCCAGATTAAGAGCCCAGTGGGCCTGGTGCTGACAATTATAAAGGGGCCTAAGTACAGAATCTTATCGACCAAAAACACTAACACAGTCATACCTCTCGAGCGTTATGTATCTGGTGGAGATGTTGCCAGAGCGAAATTACATAGGATGCAGCTATAAGAAAACCCAGATTCTCTTAAGAAATGCTAATATCTCTCTAATTCATGCTTTCGTCTTTCACGTAAATCCATACCCCCTAACAGCAGTGTCCAGTGAAGCAGGAAGTCAATGGGCAGTGTAAAAGGCTGGGCCACTGACATGGATCATGTAACCAGAACTTCCGAAAGGGACGAACATGCCCAAAAAGGAGGCATGTCTGCCAAAAGAATTGAAAGGCCAGCCTGCCATAAATGTATGTCAGGTTGCCTGCCAATCATGCACACTGGCCATCAGCAACCTGAGCTTGGCATAAATGTGTCTAATGAGGCGCTCATTCCATGCTTTCTAAGGACTGTCCCTTAGCACTCACATGTTCTCTTGTCTCCTTACCTTCTTACTAGCAGGCAGAAGCTCCTGGTATACAGTCTGAGACAGAGAAAAGGTGTATGTAGTGTGTGTAGCAGAAAGGGAACATGCCACAGCATTAGAGAGACCAAAGTCAGCATTACCTTAACTTATTTTATTTCAGCTAGTCCACACAATATAGTTTGCATATATCCCTCTTAAGTTTCCATACTTAAGCAAGAGTATGTGAAGAATAGTTAGGGTTGCCACCTTGGAAAAAAATACAGGCCTTACTGATTTGCATAACTAATTATGTATGCATGACATCACAAGATGTAAATCAAAAGGAGGGACATAAGAGAAAATTCTGTGCTTTCCCATACTCTTATGCATGTATGCTTATATATGTGAATGTGCATTTATATTTGTGTATATGAGTTCATGTGCACGTGTTTGTGTGTATGTAGATCTATATGTGTTCATGTATTTATGTGTATGCATATACATGTATGTATTTGGGAATTCCACTAGATCTGGGAATTTTCTGGACACCACTGTAATATGTAACAATTGCACAATCCACATCTCGGTTTACAGAAAACCCACAGACACAGAAAACTCACAGCTCCAGCTTCCACCTTTCCCATACTAAACAGGGAATCATCTTCAGCCAAGCCATTAGGTACCATCGCATATGCTCTGATCCTAATGACCGTAATTCCCATCTAAATGTACTCTCCCAGTCTATGAGACAGAAAGGCTACAAACCAAAGACTATTACCACACAAATCAACTCTGCTGTAAAAACGCCACGCACGCGCCTGCTACAGTACAAAGAGAAAAAATATATCTACACGAGTGACACTTGTGGTCACCTACAACCCAGCTCTTGAGGAAATACAGAAAATCATCAAAGACCTACAACCAATGTTAACAGAAGGTGAGACTCTGAAAAACATTTTCTATGAAACACCCATTTTGGCCTTCAGACAACCAACAAACCTACAACAAAAATTAATCAACAGGAAGCTGCCCAATGATGGGAAGAATAAAGAAAACAGGACCAGTCAATGCAAAAACCCTTGCTGCACACTGTGTCAGCACATATGCACAGACAACACAGCCACACACAACAATAAAACCTACAGCATTAAAGGATCATACTCCTGCACATCCAGCAATGTGGTATACACGACTCAATGCACAAAATGCCACATTGGATGCTGAATTAGGGAAATCACCCAGCTATTAAATGGCAGAATGAATCTGCACAGACACTCCATTACACACCACAAAGAATAATCCTACTGCACTACTGTGGGACACCACTTTACCCAGCCTGACCACTCAATGAAGGACCTACAATGAAAGTGAGAGGGTTTTTTAAAAATACCCAAGAAAGAAAAACGTTTGAATCCAGAATTATCAAATTGTTTAACAGCAAGAATAGAGGACTAAATATTGATTTGGGTTTCCTGTCCTACTATCAACACTTTACATGAACACTCCCCCACATTATCTTACTGTTCTGTCATACGTATCAACATTTTCTAATGCATTCCAATATATTTATTCTATCAATATATGAAGTACTATGTGTAGACCTATGCTTTCCCATACTCTTATGCATGTATGCTTATATATGTGATTGTCATTTATATTTGTGTATATGAGTTCATGTGCATGTATGTATATGTGTTCATGTATATGCGTATACATGTATGTATTTGTGTAGGTATGTATAAAGTGTATATATACATGCAGACATGTATGTATATGTGAATGGCTGTATGTGTACACACATATATATGGGTCTATGTATGTGTAGGAACATTGGTATATGTGTAGGTACGTGTATTGGTGCTTGTGTGTGGATGCATGTGTAGGTGTGCATGTGGTTGTATTTATATGTATATTGTATGTACTTGTGTATATTGTGTATGTACTTGTGTGTACTTGTACATATGCACTACTTGTGTATAGGTATATGTACATGAGTGTGTACGTGTGTCTGTGTATGCTGGATATAGGCCTTCATGCATATCCTGTAACTCTTGGATGGGAACTCATGCATTCTTTATATTAATATCCCCCCCCCCCCCTTCTAACACCATATTTTGCACTGTTCACTTGTTGTTTTTTTCTCTCTCTCCACCCTTACTCTGTGATCTTCACATAAGATATGTATGACCCCCTGCAAGAATGGTGTCTGTTCTAACAAACCTGTCTTATCTGCACTCATGTCGCTTTAACCCCTGTATCACAACTCAACTTTTAATTCTATGTGTCGTCTTGCTCAGAAATGCTACAGACTTGAGAAAGGGAGGTTCTCCTGAAAGCTTGTCATTAAAAAATTCTGTTAGTTTAATGAAAAAGGTATTACAAGATACAAATTCTATCTGTTTTTTTACATCTACATCACTTGACTAATACAGCTACAATCTCTCTCTCTCTCTCTCTCTCTCTCTCTCTATATATATATATATATGTGTGTGTGTGTGTGTGTGTGTGTGTGTGTGTATATATATATATATATATATATATATATATAGTGTATAGTTATATTTTACAAAAATTGTTGGTCAAAAATTGTGGGAAAGCAGCAGATAAATGTGTATCTAGTGTAATCCTGTAATTTCAGCTAATAAAGCAGGGACATTGTGTAATATAATCCACAGAGGCTTTGCACTGCACTGTGGTAAGTGGCATGGCAATACATTTAAAATGTATCTGTCACTTCTGGGGGTCAATGCATATTTTGCCCTGCTAGGTGTGGGGCAGTTAAGGGGTTTAGGTGAAGGTAGGTATACTTAAGTGAAGGTGCGTCATCTTCTTTCTTCAACTTCTGGCGGTCTATCTGCCACAAGCCTTGTTGAAGTGGGAAAGGTCAACTGAACAGCATCAGGCTAACTTTTTCAGATTTCTGATGCTGTGTAACATAGCATATCAAATGGTAGCTCAAATCTGTTACAAAATAAACAATTATAAGTAGGGGTAAATAATACCTTCCATCTTCAACAACCAGGAACAATGTTTAAGGGGTAGAACACACCATCATACAAACAGAAAGCCTTTTCCTACAGTTCCAGAATGCCTTTTTAAATAGGCACTTTAAGTACTATAACCACTACAGCTTATTGTACTGATTTATGGTGCTATGAATTGGTGGGTTATGTTCCCTCAGTTTTTTTTTTTAATAATCATTGGTCAGATAGCACAACTGGTGTGCACTCAACCTGCGTATTTCAACCTTCTTCCAAAGGCTGATTAATTGAGGTGAATACTAACAATTAGACCTCATGACATACTGAAAAATATAGAGTTCTAAATCTCTTGTAAACCAAAACATTGCAATGTCATAATCCTCAGCGCATTAATGGGTTCTGTACATCGCATGGCCCAGTGTTTTTTAAGGCATACTGCTGGATTAAGGTTTCCATTTAAAGAGAGAAAACAGATAAACTTTCTTGGTAGGATTCCATCTGTGACTGTGTAACAATAAAAAAAATTATTAGTTGGGGATTATCATAAAATGAATAAATATTTATGAAAATATAAACGTTTTAAAGTCTATCAATTTAATATGATGAAATCTAGAAAAGCTGGCTTTGCTCTTTCCCGCAGTTCCTTTGAAATTCTGCTTTGCATAATAATGTTTTTTCAATTAAGGGCCTTCAGGATCTGTTTGTGTATAGGTTTTGCCATTCCCAGCAATGCATAACCTAAAAAGATTAACAAATAAATAAATAAACCCTGAATGGTGCTCTTTAAAGTTACTTGAAGAATAAATACTACTCACCAAATATGTAGTGCTGGCAAAGTGCATACAGTATAAAGCAGAACCGTATACATTCATAGCCACATACATTCAAACAATGTCTAAAAATGTATAAAGTACTTTCTTCACCACAAAGTGACAATATAAAGAGCACTTTATAGGGATATACTTATATGCAGTCCAAATACATAACCCCCAAACGAAATAAGAAAAGGAAAAGAAAAACAGAACAAATAGTTCGGATGGTTAAGAAAAATAAACAAAATATTTTCTCCAATTTGAGCTAGATAAATTTCCCACTTTCTAATCATAACAATATCTTTTAAGGCATCAGTGTTATCAATCATATTATTCCTAGCAATAGCCCCATTCTTGGTAAAATATAGTGTAGGCTAAAATGAGTCGACTTCCAAATAGGATCCTTTCCACCTTTGTGTGATTATAGACCTTCTAAACCTCATAAGAAGAGAAAAACACCCAGATGATAAACACCTGCTTAAACTCTCAACAACTAACAGTAAACCCATGTTTTGCCAGATCTGAGAGATGCAAAGTACAGCATACACACATATATTAAAACATATAAAATCAGACTGATGTAACACAAGCACAAAGAAGGTCAATGTTAAAAGCAGACCCCTCCAGTTATCCCCTAGCCAGAGAAGGCTGAGATTGGTTGAGTGATCTGGGTTGTCCCAAGCCCCAGGTAAACTGCATAACCACTGTTGCATATTGTGGAGGTTATGTTGCTTAGAGTGCTTGCTTAAGTTGTTGTTTTTTCATTTTTATTTTTGTTGCATGCTGGGCCTATTGGATCATAATGATTTATTCATTTTTTTGACAATCTTTATTTTTCATTTTACATTTTACATATATGTTAGAGAGCAAAGGTACAGAACAACAATAGCGAAGGATCCGAATGTCCGTAAGCAAATATTCACAGTCAATCCATTAGAAAATATAATTAGAAACCAAGAGTGCTAGTTCAAACAATATGATCAACTTCTGTAGATGAGTAATTATACAATGAGATGTTGGGAGGAGCAGAAGTATAGCTAGTCACACGTGAAAACCTACTGAATTACAGACAAGGCTGTCTGGTGTCATGCTGGCATTCTAGTGACGTTTATTTTTATACATTTAGATTTCTGTGGGTAGCTTTTACCCTGCAATACATTGTATTAGCAAGTAGCTAACTATGGCCTCAATTTAATTCTATTGGCCGAAAATTGTCAATAAATATTTTATTGACTTGCAACTGGATTTTATGGCATCTAAAATTCTTGCAGCAGAACCCAATAAACGTGTTTGCCAATCATGACAGATCGTCCAATAAATGTGCTTAAGAAGTATATTTATTGGCCTATTTTTGCAGACTAACCGTGTTAAAAAAAGAAACAAATAAAGCCTATAGAGGTGAATTTGACTCCCACATTTGTACAAAGTAGGTTTTAAACCTGGATTCTATGAGGAGGGACTCATGCTGAAGGCACCTAACTTTTATGTAAGATTAATTTGTATGTTACTTAATAAATATTGGTTGTCTTGTAACTTGGAGCCTTCTTATATTTATTCTATGTTGTGGAGGATACCACTAGAGGAGCCCATTCCACATCTACCTCACCACTCCTATGCTGATTTACCTGAGCCAGTGATACACAGGCTAAGTACAATTTGAGTGCGATATACCTGCATTTGCCCTTTCTGTATTTACTGTACTACCCTATGTTAGTTATTGTTTCTTACAGCAACATTGGAAGAATGTTATATAAGAAGAACAGATATAGGGGTTAGACATGTGCACCAGTGAAATGTTCATTTCATACGAATGATTTTGTATCAAATAAAGTTTAATTTGTCAATCCAGAATTTCGGCCGCAAATCATTCGTTCAAACGATATTCGTTAAAAAATAATTAGTTTTCTACCATTAGGATGAAAACAGCACTGCGCACATGCAACTCCCCCCCCCCCCAAAAAAAAACAAGGAGGGAGTCAAAAGCGCTACCAGCTCCCTCCTTGTAATAAATAACTATTCCTACCACCTCCCCCTGCATTAAAACCATATTAATAAAAGGGAGGTTAAATCCTCCTTGTGACGAAGTGCCCTTCACCA